GCCCTGGTCGAAGCACTTGGTCACGGTCACCATGCCAACCCAATGGGAGTAGGTCACGCATGCGATGGCTGCTGTCCATTAAGGCACTTTGCTGTGCCAAATAGAAGTCTTGCCAAGTGTGCCAGCCTTGTATGAGACGCTTACCAGACCGTCTATAAACATTTCTGGTTGGGTACTCGGAATGATTCTGGCTGTGATCGTCGTCCTGACTGCGACGTTAAAGAATTCCTGAAGAGATGGGGGCGCTCTTAATCCTCCTGATCAGCCAGATCATCCGGGTGTAAGGCTCGTTTTCGTACGAGGGTAAAAATGAGTGGGCTGGCTGGCTTACTTGGCTCTGACTTGGGCACAGGGGTGGGCCGAAATACACATGAAGACATTGCTTGCTCATTGATGCTGTCCGGTATGTTGGATTGAGGGGAAGGGTAGGTTCCAGTTGATGCTCATTTGAAAACACAACCATACCCATCAATCATACATCTGCTACATGGTCATTTTTTACTCTTGATTAGTTGGTAAACGGACTGCTAACCTCACAGACAGATTAGATTAGGACTGTTGTATGCTACCATAGCCAGTTCTATCTAATACTGCTATAAGTGAACCAACCAGAGTACATCTAGACTATGTAGACAATTTGTGTGAATGTTGTAGACATGCCACTTGATCGGTACAGTAGGGGACTTAGGGGTATAATCGTTTATGTCCACCACCCCTATGTCGGCTCACGTGTTCCAGGCCTTAGAACAGGGAGAAGAAAGACGGCTACGTAGAGCCCGTGCGCTAGCAGCGAGGATAGCAGCAGCAAACGCAGCAGCTAGAGAGCAGGCAACAGCAGCCAGAGCAGCAGCGATGGCTAACGACGCAAGCTCTGCTGCGTCATCGTCTGCGTCCTCGTCAGGGACTAATGGGACTCATTTGGGAATACCAATAAGTTCCACAAATTCCACGGGCACTTCCGGTTCAACAGGTTCTAGACAGTCTTTTAGTCAAATGGCGGGCTAGCAGTTCAGCCCGTTGACCCCACGTGAGAGGGAGCTCAGGGAGATCCAACAGGTCGAGAGGCTCCGCCAGAAGTTAGAGGAGGACCTGAAAAGGGCAACCGATAGAGAGAGAGAGATAAAAAATAGAGCAGCCAGGCTTGATAATTTAGAGGTTGACAAGGTTGAATTAGAGGGCTTGGATGAGTCAGCATTGACTGACCCGCTGAAAGTATTGAAGAAGAATATGTTGTCGCTGCATGCGCACGTGGACAGCAGATTAGACTTCATGCAAAGCACTCTAGACCAGATCCTGGACGCATTGACAAGGCCAGGATTCAGGCCACCAGCACAATCGCCGTTGCCGTTATCGGCGATGTCAGGCCCCTTTCCAGTTCAAGCTGGTACACAACCAAGTGGTACATCTGGAGCAGTCGCACAGAATGTTGCATCTTCTTCTTCGGGTCCAGCGGTGGGAGCTACACCACCGCAACAACCTGTTCAGCAATCTGGACAGCCGCAAGGTCAATGGTATCCTAAGACCCCAATGAAACCGCCCCTTGCCTTCTTAGGTGAGGGAAAGGGCGAAGAACTCAACACATGGTTGAGAACGGTCCCGGTTTGGGTGAAGGCAAAGAGGACCTTGCTGGAGGATGAAGTGGTAACTGCGGCGTCTTACCTCGAAGGTAAGGCAACCAAATGGCTAGATGGTGTAGTGATAAAGGCCGGGAACGGGCGACGCATGGTGGACTGGGCTAAGTCTCTAACGTTAGACCAGTTCATGGAAAGGGTAGAAGCTCGATGACATAACCCACAGGAGGCACAAAAGGCCACTGATGCCATAAACAAACTGGACCAACGAAAGTTCAAATCGCTTAGAGAGCTTACGACTACCGTTGAGAGTCTGATCCTCGTCCCAGGCATTAACTACAGCGACCAGTTCCTATTGACAACATTTGTCAGATGTCTCCCAGAGAACATCAGGAACTTGCTGGCCAGTGAGGCACGCGTTGAGTATCACTCGTTTGAGACATTGTCTAGGAAAGCCTTAGATTTGGAGGCCACGCTAGGCAATGCTCAACCTACCTCTCAGAATGACTCGAAGAGGAAGAAGAGTCCCCAGGAGTGGAAGAAGAAGGGGGCGAAGTTGATGATGGTTGAGTCCGATGGGACTCAAACTGAGATCGACGAACTCTCTGACCTGGTGGACTATTCAGAGTATGACGGCGAGGAGGTAGCTGAGGGTAGCACCCTCGCCGCAGTAGTAAAGGCTAAGGCTGGTGGCCGAGGGAAGGGCCAACCTAGGGGTCAAGGGAAGGCCGCCTCCAATCAGACCAAGCAGGCTGAATGGGTTAAGGCAGGTCTTGATCAAGACGTGTGGCGTGACCGCCGAACGCGTGGCGCTTGTATCAACTGCGGGGAGTACGGACACTCACAATACAAGTGCCAGAACGCGAAGGTAGCTCCAAAGATGGGGCCAACCTACTCCCAGGCTTCTAGCTCGGGAAACACGTAAGGTCGGTGGAAGTTTTAGCTGCTTGTACTCCAGATGAAGTGGGATTGATACCCTCCCCACTTCATGAGATGGCCCAAGCTAATGACCCCTTAGTCACCCCGTAGACACAACTAGACCAAACTATGCTCTGTACGTTAGATGTGTCTGAAGCCTTAGAAGACTTACAGAGTGAGTGGTCAAACAAGGACCCTCGTGAGTCTTGGGTGGCACTAAGGAAAGGTCCTAGAGGGGAACATTTCGTGGTGGAGGTCGATGTAGGAGGCCGGAAATGTGGAGCCTTCATAGACATAGGATCCACGCGGAATTACATAAGTCGCGACTGTTTGGAAAGGCTGCACCTACAGGACCGGGTACGGCACCTTAGTAGACCAGTAGCATCTACTTTGGCCAACAAGGAGCGCATGATTGTAACAGACTACATCAAGGACGTAGTCTGTACCTTCTCCTATGAAGGAGGTGAGCTTAACCATAAGATCTCGTTCTTGGTTAGCGACGACTTACCATTTGACATGTTATTAGGCATGAACTACCTCGGCGTTGCTAAGCCCCAGTTCGACTGGGATAAGAAGGTGCTCAAGCATAAGTTGCCCGATGGCCGAACTGTCAGATTGACTAAGTTCAAGGCCAGTAGTATTATAGATACCTATGGCTGCTTGTGCGCATCAACGTTCTACAATTACTACATGCAACCAAGAGGAGGGTATGTACCTTGTTTATGTCTCTAAGAAGGGGGAGGCCGTTAAAACACCCCCAGAGATAGAACGCGTCGTTGCTAAGTTCCCTGATCTGTTCGAGGAGCCCACAGGAGTTGTGGAAAGGGAAGTCGTCCACGCTATAGAAATCATTCCAGGGAGTAAGACCCCAAAGGGAAGGATCTATAGGAACTTCGGCGACATCTTAAGGAGCTGACAGAGAAGGGTTGGATTCGGCCTACTACTTCCCCTTACGGATCACCCGTTCTATTCGTACCGAAGAAGGGGGGTACTTTGAGGATGTGCATTGATTATAGGGGCCTCAATGCCATCACTGTGAAAAACGCAGAGCCTCTACCTTGCATAGACGACCTATTGGATAGGGTGCAGGGATGCAAGTACTATAGTAAGATAGACTTGAAATCCGGATATCATCAGATTGCAATAAGACTTGAGGACCAACACAAGACAACCTTTCAAACCAGATACGGTCTATATGAGTTTGTAGTGATGCTCTTTGGTCTTTGCAATGCGCCGGGTACATTCCAGCACGCTATGAATCGGATCTTCCATGACCATTTAGATAAGTTTGTCATGGTGTACTTAGATGACATTCTGATCTTTAGTAAGTCTGCCGAGGAGCACGCACAACATGTTGAGAAGGTACTCTCACTCCTGCGACAGCACAAGTATAAGGTCAACTTAGAGAAGTGCGGGTTTGGCCGCACTAAGATACTATACTTGGGTCATGAAGTATCCGCGAAGGGGATTAGGCCGGAAGATGCGAAGGTGGCTAGTATTCGAGACTGGCCACGACCTCAGACAGTCACTGAGGTCAGATCATTCTTAGGAATGTGCGGCTACTATAGAAACTTCGTAGAAAACTATTCTACAGTCGCCTCTCCTTTGACTGATCTAACTCGACTTGACACACCGTGGGACTGGAGTGATGAGTGCGAGGCTGCTTTCAAACGGTTGAAGCATGCACTCATGAATCATGAAGTTCTCATGGTTCCCGATCCGCAGAAGCCGTTCATAGTGACCACTTATGCAAGCCAACGGCACAGTGCTGGCTCAGCAGGATGGGAAAAAGTTGAGACCGATTGAGTACATGAGCAAGAAGATGCCATCCAAGAAATTGGCGAAGTCCACCTACGAGAGGGAACTCTATCCTCTGTATAAAGCACTTGTCCATTGGAGACACTTCCTTTTAGGAAGGTTCTTCTACTTGAGGACTGATCATCAGACCCTCAAATGGATCAAGACTCAACCGGCTCTTTCTGACGCACTCAAGCGGTGGATTGAAGTCATAGATCAATATGACTTCAAGCTTGAGTACCTGAAGGGAGAGTACAACAAGGTTGCAGACGCGCTATCACGTAGAGCAGACTACCTAGGTGCGCTAGTTTTTGACTTTGGCGTTTCTGACGAAGTAACTCAATCATTGGTGGGAGCCTATCAGGAAGACCCTGTCACGATGGACATCATTCGCAAGCTTCAGGCAAAAGACAATGCCACGGAAAGTGAGTTTGTGATGGTGGACGGGTTACTCTATCCTGATAAGGCAGGAATAAAAAGGTTAGTAGTTCCATCTAGTGAACCCTTGCGTAGTTTATTTTTAGGCGAATGCCATGACGCAACTGGGCACTTTGGCTACAAGAAGACGAGTGCTAACTTAGTGCAACGATTTTGGTGGCCTGGTATGTTTGATGACGCAAAGAAGTACGTAGAGACCTGTCAGGTCTGTCAGCGGGATAAGCCGCGAACTCAGGCACCGCTTGGGTTGTTGAAGCCTTTGCCTATCCCTGCTGGTCCAGGACAGAGTGTCTCCATGGATTTCATGGACACCCTGGTGACTAGTAAAGAGTGGCAAGAGGCATCTTCGTCATCATTGACCGATTCACCAAGTACGCTAGACTAGTGTCTATGCCAGAGACCGCAAGAACTGACTTCGTCATCAAGTTGTTCAAAGACAACTGGGTGTGTGACTTCGGTTTACCAAAGTCAATCATTAGTGACCGAGATGTCCGATTCACAAGTGAACTGTGGAAGAAGACTACAGAACAGATGGGCAGTCAACTTCAAATGACTTCAGGGAATCATCCCGAAGCCAACGGACAAGCCGAACAAATGAACAGAGTTGTACAACACTTGCTGCGGCATTACATCAAGCCCAGYCAAGATGATTGGGATGAGCAGTTGCCTCTCATCGCCAGCTTGTACAACAATGCTATCCATAGTAGTACCGGCGTTAGTCCTAATCAGTTGCACTTGGGATGGAAGCCTAGATCAGCACTAGACTTCCTCCTACCTGAAAACCGACCCGCTGCAACTCCAGACACACTAGAATATGGTGTGCATGAGAAGTTGCTGCAAGAGGCTGTCGAGCATATGAAGAAAGCTCAGCAAGCAATGATTGCTTCTGAGAATCAACATCGCAGACAGTCCACATTTCAAGTAGGGGAACGAGTCAGGGTCAAGGCTAGTGAGTTAGGACAGGAGTTTGGAATCTCTCGCAAACTAATGCCTCAGTACTTTGGTCCCTGGGAAGTCCTGGATATAGTGGGAGATGAGATGGATGGTCCCACATATGTCATTCGTGTCCTTGGACACCTACGCACTCACCCAGTCTTTCATGCCTCAAAGCTTGCACCTTTCGCTGAGACAGATCAATTCCCTTCCAGGAGATCGATGCTGCCCCCAACCATGGATGGACAAGTGGACATTGACGACATTGTGGATCACAGGGATATGCGTGTTCCGAAACCGCTGGGTCGAGGAAGACCTCCTAAACCCAAGAGAGAGTACCGCGTCAGATTCAGGCATCATACGGATCCGAAAGAAGATCGATGGTTTACCAGGGAGGAACTGATTGAGACAGCTCCTCAGGTGGTGGCAGAATATGAGAGGCTACTGAAAGGGAAGGCACCTGCGAAGTAAGCATCTCAGCGGACTTTCGAAGCTAAGGGGGATGGAATGTGAGGATTGAGCCCTCAA